AGAGATTTGGTTCCAAATGAGGGACAGTCCATCCAAATGCGGGACAGACAGTTAGGAGGTATGCTATAGTTCTCCCACTGACCTCTGCATCACCACTGTGTCTTGTGATCAAGTAGAGAAGAGCTGGAAGAGCCACGGTGCTCAGTGGATGTCTCCTGGATTGTTGGATTAATTGTTACCAAACCAAGTTGTAATTTACATTTATAGGACATGTAACAAAGGCCTCATGAACTGTGATAATAGAAAGCAGTAAGCCTACTCCACACAAATAATGTACTATTCATTTATGAATTCTCCTCCTTGATGCAGAAGGCCAATGCTCTGATTAAAAACAGTATATTGTTTTGAGCTAAGTAGCTTCTGAAATCAGTAAATATAATTTATTGCATCTGCTTCATAACAGTTTTTTTCAGCACCCTATGTCCTCACATTTTACTTTCTCCAGTTTTCTATAGGAAACACAGAGACAATTGATGTTTTCTTTTCTTGTTTTTTTGTTCTGATGGAGATATGCTTTTGGCATCTTAAATGCAAAAATTGCTTAGTAATCCTTAATAGCACTTGGGGTTGTTACAAAAAAAAGCCTGTGACTGTCAAGAATTGCAAAACAGTGCTTACATCTTCTGTGGCAACTAAATCCTCAACTCTTTCTTGTGGTGTCAGGTATAGTCTTAGAAGCCCACATACGCCAGGCCCTGGCACAAGTGCTTTATGGCAGATATCATCTGTCAGTTCACTGCACTGGCACTGTAGCTAATCAAAGGTTAATTTTTCATATTGCTCGAGTTTGGCCATTAAATCTAAGTATCATATATCTTCATATATTATCCTGGTGGTGACTCATTCTGAGTTCTATTATTGTATCCTGACCGTATACCATGATCAAGTTTTTGCTTTTTATGATTACTTTTCTATGACTGGCTGCTGTCAACGCTCAACTTCAACCTATATTATAGCTATGCCCTAACCATGACCTTGACTTGTATGTTGATGAAGCCTGGTTCCCTGACAGGTCTTCAACTGTATCCAATTTGGCAAATATGGGGGCTGTCAACTGGCATTGCCAAACAGCTAAATTTCCTGCTAGAGGTTCTTAGGGACAATCGACTTTTTGCTGGTGACACATTGGATCTACACCAGTCTGTGACGGTAATAGATCCACATGTGCTTATGTCTACCACTGGTGGGGGATCTACACCAGTCTATGAGAGTAATGTAGCCACATGTGATTATACCTACCACTGGTGAGGGACCTACAACAGTTTATTAGAGTAATGTATCCACATGTGCTTATGTCTACCACTGGTGAGGGATCTATACCAATCTATGAGAGTAATATATCCACATGTGTTTATGTCTACCACTGGTGCAGGATCTACACCTGTCTATGAGAGTAATATATCCACATGTGTTTATGTCTACCACTGGTGAGGGATCTACACCAGTCTATGAGAGTAATTTATCCACATGTGTTTATGTCTACCACTGGTGCAGGATCTCCACCAGTCTATGAGAGTAATATATCCACATGTGTTTATGTCTACCACTGGTGAGGGATCTACACCAGTCTATGAGAGTAATTTATCCACATGTGCTTATGTCTACCACCGGTGCAGGATCTACACCAGTCTATGAGAGTAATTTATCCACATGTGTTTATGTCTACCACTGGTGAGGGATCTACACCTGTCTATGAGAGTAATTTATCCACATGTGTTTATTTCTACCACCGGTGAGGGATCTACACCAGTCTATGAGAGTAATTTATCCACATGTGCTTATGTCTACCACCGGTGCAGGATCTACATCAGTCTATGAGAGTAATTTATCCACATGTGCTTATGTCTACCACCTGTGAGGGATCTACACCAGTCTATGAGAGTACTTTTTGAAAAAGTCTTCATGACGAAACATGTCAAGGAGGAGTTAACAAGCTGATGTAATCAAGCTGGTCACTGGGGGAGAAGGTGTTTGCCAGTGGAGGAATTATACAGCTCTGCCTATTAATCCTTGAATGAGAAATGTGCGATGGAGGTTAATATTGGCCATTTAGAAGGTGGATTGACAAGAATTAAAGCAACTTGAACCCACCAACAGTTTTTTAAAAAACCCAGCAAACTGAAAGGAGTTATTGACTGCAAAGGAGGTTCCCATCAGCTATCCTGGGAGAGCGGGTCGCTATGGATTGTAATATGAGTGCAGTTTGACCATTTAATAGTGGTCAAAGAAGTCTGGTGAGTGTATTGATTACACAGAAACACTAAGGATATCACACTAAGAAATACCTTTTTGGAATATGGAACAATTGCACTTTATATATTGCTGACATAACCTCTTAAAGAGACTTTTTTTTTTTAGACCAATTTGTGAAGTTGCACATGTGATCTGGATCACAACACATTGCACATGCAGTTTTGAGATTTTATTGAATTTAACTATAGGGTAGGCTGCATGTTATGTTGGGGCAATAACTAGGCACTTTATTGTTTATGTATAATTATGTATAAGTTGTAAGTTTTTAGCGCAGTGATTTTGTCTTGAGATATGAGAGTAATGTATCCACATGTGCTTATGTCTACCACTGGTGAGGGATCTACACCAGTCTGTGACAGTAATTTATCCACAAGCACTGACACCTAACAATACTTAAATTGAAAAACAAAATGGATTTGACATACCTTTATACAGTATATAAACTTTATTTTTTTACAGCAGAAATATATACAGTACACAAAATACCTGCATAAAATGGGATGATTTTCCTGTGGAACAAGGCACTGGTAGGTACCCGTAGGACTTTGCACAAGGTGTATTTACTGTGCATTTATAAGTCATATATTCTATAAGAATCATGTCATATATTCTAGAATTACTAGATTCTGATGGAATTTACATTGCATTTCTTTATTTAGAGTGGACCTGTCAGCTGTGGAAATAATACCCAAGTGCACTGAAAATCACATCAGTAGATTATAGAACTGGCGCTAATACTAATTATTATATTAATAAGTGCAGAATAACTCAAATAGGGTTATGCCATGTTTTGAGTTTTTTAAAGGTATGGCTAGTCCCATTTTTGATAAGCCTTTCTTTTTTTTTCTTTTTTTTTTATTATCTAGCTAAAAAAAACCACATCATATTGGTTGCGAAAGTCTCACTCAACTATGACATACCTCTGATTATCTCTGCTTTTGGCGCTTAGAAATAACAGACTGTCTTGATAGGAGTGAAAGAGATGGGGTTAGGACGTATGTGTATAAAATATACAACCTCACTATACATGTTTGACCTAGAAATTCTACCCCTACTGATGCTGGTTAGATGTCATATCACCAGCGCTTCCACATTTAGTTGTACAATGATTCTAAGGGTAAGGTAGATATTTTTGATTCCTTTGTACCTGTTATATTCATTGCTTAGGTGGGCAATTTTTATAAGAGGATTAAGAATAGAATATAGGTCCATTGTACCTATATACTGATTAACGTGACTTTACAATATTCAAAGGCCATATGTATGTATGTTAAACTATTGTGTTGCCTGCACACAGTGGAGGCAGCTATATGCTGTACAAGCAAACTCAATAATGACATTGCTGTATTGTATAAAAGCCTAACATCAATCCTTGTTTCTATTTTCGAAAAGCTATTAGATATTCAGTACTTTGTAGATCACTTCCCCTCCTAGGAATACTTAGCAGCACATACTCACTTTGCTTCATTCTCCTGTCAAAGCGTTGACCAGAAGTGAGAACATTAAAGGAGAACTATGAGGTAAGTGATTTCCACTCATCCTCATAGTTAGAGCCGACCTGTGACAAAGAAGCTGTCACAGTTCGGGAAGTGAGCGGAAACATGCAGTCGATCCGCTCACTTCCCGATCGTCTCCAAGCAGTGAGCGGTGACTGTCAGTCACCGCTCCCCGCAGGGATTCCCCCTCTCTGATCCGCTAGCGCTGAGTGGAGGAACGTACGGGGGAGGGGGCGGGCACAGATAGGCAGAGCCAGCTGTCACTCACGCAGCTGGGTGGATCTCGAAAGTATTGTCGGAATCTGTCCAGGCTGCGGCGCTTTCAGTATATCATGGGCAATAGTCTGCTATATACTGAGCTTGGCGTCACGGGAGAAGTTTAGGATATGCCCTAGTGTGACCCTAAAGAGAACTATGGGGAAAAACACTTACCGCATACCAATAGTTCTGTGTTAGGTCATTTGTAAGTTTCAAGTTTCCGTAATTGGAACATACACAAGGCTAAGGACTGTCTCTCCACCCTCATGTGACATGTCAATTGCAAAGCACCAGCACTGTCCCATGAGAGGAAGAGGAGAGAGTCATATGTCTGCCTTACCTGGAAGTACCACCCAAGAAGAGAAGGAAAGGTGAGTATATGCTGCTACGTAGGGGCATTAACGCAAACCTGTTGCTTTGCCTTACAAATTTTAAAGGCTAACACTACTTGGTCTGGATTCAATTCAAGAGGTTTGATGTAATGCTATATTTTGGTGACCTGCTTAATTTTGTACAGTGGTGTTTATATATCTTTTATAGAAACATTATCTATTCTACAGCCTAAGGAAAGTCATATGTCTCCACATTGTTTCTACTCCTTAGTTGTCTTCGTACCTCTTATGTTAAGTAAAACTTCAAGATTTTCGACTGACCTGCAAGTTCTTCGTTAATGAAATACAGTACAGACAAAGCTCAAATGGTCAATTAACCCACCAACACAGTCTTTCAAAAAGAGGTATTTTTTGTTGTGGTTGTGCGGAACTTTCAATGCAATTATTCCGCATCCATTGAAAAGAAACCAGAAAAAAACAGTTCTCTTGCCAGATCCAGTACTTCCATAGTTTGGCCCCAGCCACATTTCCGAATGCTTCAGTGGAAAACATGTCTTATACGCTTCAAGAGAACATCTGATCATACTGAAGCAATGTTCTCAGAACTTTCCATTAGGTGGATTGTGACTTTCTGAGCTTAATGTTCCGACTTGTATAAAAGTTTATTTTTTTGTTTTGTGTTTTTCTTTTCATTACATGGAAACTTCAGGTTCTATGTTAAATAAAAGGTCATCATTTCCCCTTCTAATTTCAAGTAGTAAAGGTGATTCATTCATTACAGCGTTGTGCAAATCATTAGATGTCATCAGCGATCGACCATTAACCTTGACAATGATGTCCCCATCTTTGATCCCACCTCTGCAGAAATAATCAAATGGATTAATAATAATATAAAAGTCATAATTTATAGTCTTAACCAGTCTTTATCGATCTTTGTATAGGGAATATGGTAAAATGCTCCAGTGAGACCAGAAGGTTAGGTTATAGTTTAATATTTTAATGAAGTTCTTCTTTAAGGTAGGCTTAGACAAAGTCTTATTCTCAGTGAGCACAAAACCATATGTAATGGGAGCGTTTCATTTGTTAAAAATGATACTTCTGAGATGTATACATGTCTGTGAGATTCTCACTTGTGACACAGCAATTAAAGCATATTTCATGGGTACTAGGACTGTGGCATATGTGTCCTGTGCATACAGGCAGTAGGTCCAGATTTTATTTAAAGTGACACTAAACTCAGGAGGTAATTCCTAAATCTAAGTACATGTTTAAAAATTACCTCAACTATTAACTATACTGTTCCTTATTTGTGTATCATTCGGCTGTAGATCCTCAAAACATCTCTGAATTAGTGTCTTTCCTTGTGGAGGGTAGCTACTTTTATTCCCTATGGTCTTTGTGTATATTGTAAAGTAGCCACCACTCCAAGCTCACTCCCGTGATGGACCACAATCGCATGTTTAGCTTACTAATTTATATTGAGATCGTAGCCCATCACATGAGTGAGCTTGGGGTGGTGGCTACATTACAACACATACAGGGACTATGGGGAACAAAAGTAGCCCCCCTCCAGAAGGAAGGACACTGTCATCACCAATTCAGAGATGATTTGAGGATCTACAGCCGAGTGATACAGAAATAGGCTACATCTTTGTTAATAGTTAAGGTACTTAAAATGTATTTTCAAAGTTTAACTCCTGAGTTTAATGTCACTTTACCTATGATCCTTTAAGCCCCTCCTAATGTTGATGCAATTTGGCGGAGCCCACAGTTTTATTCTCCTTGGGGCACACATAGATGCCTCAGGTCTCTTACAATCCTAGCAATGCCCCTGGTGTTGCCTATTGTTGGTAATGGTACCAGGTGACCAAACACACTCGAATTTCAAGGAAGAGGATGTACAATATGTCATGGCATTTTTTGCAAACATGTACAGGATCAGCCAAAACTTATCTGGATTAACTCCCTGCCTTAAATATCCTCTTTTGTTACTACTCTAAACAGTATAGAAGTAGTGAAGAAATGAAAGTTGAGATGTTGAGAGTGTATAAGAGCGTTTCCTATGTTATTACCATATACTCCTGACAGAAGGCAACATTAGGACATATAATTGCTGCCCATCACATCTGAATTCCTGCTGAGTGCAGCAAGCGAGAGATGTTTAAATGAGGTAATCACTACCTGTCATTTCACTTCCTTTTTAGGTGCCATTGTGAAAGGAAGTAGGGGGGGAAATCTTCCTAGAGGGGAGACAGACAGAAAGCAAACCTGGCAGAGGTTGTAACTATCCAGTTCTATCCAAAATAACGAACTCGGAATAAAACCATTTTTTTTGTTCGCTTAGTTTTAGGCTCAGCCCTAGTTTGTAAATAAGTTATTAAAACATAGTTTTTGATTCTTACCTCTGGGATGGTGAATTGGGCAGCACTTCATGGACAAGTATTCCACTGCTAACATCTGGAAAATCTGGGTTGTTTAATTTCAGCTCTTCAACAAGTCTAAAACCAAAGCAGTAGAATATTATTAGCTCTTCATTTTTTCTTGCCCATACTCCAATTATATATAGGGCTGTTCTGATTAGACAAAGCACCAACACATCATGGTAGTGTCAGAACTTACCAGCATCCAGGAGTTGAATCTTTGCCCATATAGGATAGTGTGGCATTTTAGCAGAGTGGAGTGGATATATACTGTACATACACATACACTTTGTACATTATAAGCCATTATAAGCCATTCTCAACTTTTAAATGGGTCTGATCATGATATTGAATACTGTATATCCAGTGGAGTCATGAGACTTAAGATGAGAGTATAGCCTCACCTTTAGCTCTAAGCCAGCCATGTCTGTAATCTAGCTACAAGTGTTACTACCCCAAATGCTATTAAATTGGGGCACCATTTAGTGATTTAGAACCCAGAAAATCTTAGAAAATTGCCACAACTGTGACTCTGAGTCTTGACTTATCTTTGAATATAATAACACAAAAGGATCCCTCATTCCAAAACTCTTACAGAGCAAAAACAGTGCCCCTATTTTTATCATGTGGGGTCGGGAAAATATAAAGTTAGACCTTATGGTGTTTTATCACAAAGGTCTCACTGAACTGCCACTGATATGTTCAGTGTTCAGTGAATAAATACAGTGTATGTATGTGAATTTGGCTTAGCATCAGCCTCCTGCAGTCTACTGTACAGCCTCCACAGCTAAGCTCAGGGAGGAGAGGGAGAAACAGCACAAGGAGCTGTGCTGCAGTGTACAAAATATGTTAAAAGGAGAGAGAGCAAAGTGACAGTGAGATGAACTCATCAGTCTGCTGTTACTCCTGTTAGACAGGGCTGTGCTGTGTGACAAACCATGTAAAGCTGGCCATACTCCCTTATATTTTCTTTATTCAATCATTGTCAGAATAAGCAAATGGTGCAGACGGGCTGCAAGAGCTGTTTGGTCAAAGATTTTCTAACCAGCTCCTTTGATCTTCTGATCGAGGAATGCAAGCCTGAAGGGTGCCAATTGCAGCACCCACTGTGCAAATATCGGCTAGTTCCTCAACGACTGGCTGAAATTTGCAGTGTACAGCCAACTTAAATTTTAGGACTGGATGGACAGAAATACAAATTCTTTGGCAGGTAAAACAGCTCTAATATACTGCAAAATATAAACAAAAAAAATCCTGCGCCAATATGTGAAAGAAAGCAGCAACTCTGAAATAGGTATACAAATCTGTTGCTAATATATGTGAATTAGCACAACACTATTTATTCACATATATTAGTTCTCAAATACTGTATGTGTTTAATTTGTGTTTTTAGCTTTTAGTCTGGAGTACAGCTTTAATGAAAATGACAATTTCCCATTGTCAAAAGAACTCTTACATCCATTCCTATCCAATAGTAAAAGCTTACATGGCAACCAAAAAGAAGATAAAAACCAAAAGCATTTCATTTTCTTTCCAAAACATTAATCCTTTCAGTGTGTACACAAGCTCTGGCCAGAAATGTATTTTGTGAAAATTTCAAACACTGCAGCTCAAACTCCTCAATGTCAGGCAATAAAAAACATTTTTGGCATGTGGACAATTTCCTCTTCTTGACTTACGTAGGAGTTATAGTCAGCATCTTTATCCCGATGAAACGCTTCTTCCCGTCTGAAGAAACAAACAGTGACAAGATGGTTGGGAATCTTAATATTTGACCACAATAAAAAATATAAAAGAATTACATTTTCTAAGAACATTGTTGACTTCTTCCAGATCCCTGGTCTCCAATTCCGTGTCTCTCAGACATAACATAAACACAGAGACAGGAAAATCAGAAACGTTCATGAGGTGCAAACTGCGTCCTTTGCACTGGAAAAATATACACCACATTAACATATACTGTAAAATTGTACATCATTGACATATATTTGCCTTATTGTGCAATGGGCTCTTTTACTTTATTCAATAAAAGGCTTGTATTTATAGTGTAGGTCATCGTGGTGCAATACTGAGCACACAATTTGAGCCATCAACATCTCATTGTTGCTGTATGACAATTAAACACAAACCTGGGATATGTTATCCTAAAAAAGACCTTCAAATTAAACTCTTCATTACATTTTGGGTGGCATATGATATATAAAACCAGTGTGTAGGATTCAATTTACCTTTTCAGGGAGAGCCCTCTAGTAGAGGCAAAGAATGAGGATCTCAACTTTCCTCATGGTCGACTTAGCTACCGATGATATGTATGCTGGGAATCATTATAGACAGGATTGCATTTACTGGTATTGAGCAATCCAAGTGGATTTGCTTTGCTGGTGATCCAAGGAATGTGAACTTGCAATTCCCTTTGCAGGGTTCTCACTGGTGATTGCCTTGGTGTGAAAGGGTAAAGTATCCTATGGACCCATCCTTGGAGGCCTTTGTATCCATTCCTGGGGACCTTATACAATGGAGTGCAGGTATCCTTCCCACCTGTACTGCCTTCCAAAGTTCATGTCCCTCACTCACCACTGCTGTTGGAGGCATGCCATGCCATCATTAAAATATGCATCACCTATTGGTCCTTACTTCTTTGGTTAGCAAGAGTGAAACACAACTCGGCTCACCATGATAGTGCGCTAGCAAGGGGTATAAAGTACTCCTTTTCCAGTTTACTAAGCAAATTGCTTCTTTCAGCAATTGTATGCTCTCCATGGACTAACCGGATTCACTGCAAATCCTGGCTTGGATTTGTATAATTACCAAAAGGAAATGTTGGACTTTCTCCAAAGGGAGCAGGGCAAAGCAGTACAAAAGGAAAATATTATATCTTTTATTTTGAAGCATTTCCTTTTTTTACCTTTAAATTTTTTGTCACGTGACTCAGTCATGAATTTTGTGATGCGATCAGATGGAATTGCAAAAGAGATTCCGGCTGCAACTTTGAGAGTGTTAATCCCAATCACTTCCCCGTCCTGTAGAGATAAACAAGGGCATGATGATGTCACAACACCTACACAGATGAGAACAAACAGTAAATATAGACTGAGGCAGGATGAGGCATTCAACTGCCAAAAGCATACGGCCAAAAGTATATAAACACCTGACCATCACACCTACACTATACCACCAAAAGTATTTGTACACTTCTCCACAAGGGTACTAGTAATTCTGTGGCATACAAAGACATTTTAGACTTCAACCTGTGGCAATAGTTTGGGGAAAGGCCTTTTCTGCTGCGGCATGATCGTGTCACTATGTGCAAAGCCGGATCCATAAAGACATGGGTTAACAAGTTTGATGTGGTGGAACTTGAGTGGCTCATAGATGGTCCTGACCTCAACCCTGTTGAACACCCTGGGGATGAATTTGAAAGCCGACTGCGCACCAGGTCTTCTCATCAAACATCAATACCTAACCTCACATGCTATTTTTTGGCTCATTAGTAACAAATTCCATTAGATAAACCCTTCCCAAGAAAATTGGAGGCTGGTATAGCCAAAAAAGCAAAGGGGATTAGGGGGCGGGGGCAACTTCACGCTAATGTCCATGGTTTTGGAATGAGATGTCTAAAAAGTTCATATAGATGTGGTGGTCAGGTGTCCAAAAATTGTTAGCCATATAGTGTATATCTCTATATTTACTTAGCCTCTCAGAAAACATTAACTGAAATGTTCTGACTTTTTTGAGTGCCCCACTGATGTCCAAATATATTGAAGTTTTGATACCAAACAATCACAGTATACATCAAGTTGAATGAAAATGTCCACTCATGACTCATTCTACACTTCATCAAGCAGTAATCATTCAGTTCAATAAATGCATATGTACACTCACCAAATTTACTAAAGGACCCCCAGAATTTCCATACTATAAAAAAGCAAAAACATTTTAGCATACAAAGTAAACTAATTATAAATTCATGTGCTTGCACAAGATGCTGATTGGCAAAAAATATCTTCTAACAATCAGCATACATGTACACAGGTGGTACACAGGAGGCCTCTTCGTGGTTTCCATGAAAAAGGAGGCAAAGCTGTAGGTAGTTCACAACATCCTAATGTATTCCTAATATACTTGTTTTACTTGCGACTCTTCCCAGCTTTCATGGAAACCCTGAGTATGCAAAATCCACGTGTACATAACCTTAGTAGAGTTAAAGAATGCCTAAAAGCAAAACTTTTTTTTACTTTTGAATAAAGTGGGGGAGGGTTAGAAACTTTATCAGGTGTTTTTTGTTGTTGTCTGTGTTGCCACTGATGAGATTCACTTCACTTTTTCCAGTGACAACTGTAGAGGAGATTTTCCTACTTTTGCAGAGAATTTCCTCTCCCTTACTGTTGTGTCTGCTGGACAAGCAGTGAATGGATAATTAATGAATGAGACACCCATGGTAAAAATAAATAACTGACAGGGGGTTTAACCATTTCCTAGTCTATCCAAATTAGAAAAAACATTGTCTTTAGATTTACTTTAAAATATTAACAACAAAAACATTTTAAAAAATGACTTACAAAACAGCATTTTTAGCATACTACAGACTGTAGAGACAGAGAATATATACATGGTCATTTAAAACCTTCTGCTAACCAGCGACAAGGAGACATTTCTAGTCATCAGTCATCACGTAGCTCTAAAACTCAAGACATCACATATTTAAGTACAATGATTATACAAACAAAGTGTGGATTACTAAATAATTTTACTAGGTTAGCTTGAGAATGCTGACCATTATTCAGCTCATGAAGACCTAAGTTGTGAAGCTCTCCAATAGGTGTTGATTGCACAAGGATGTTCAATTTAGACACATTTGAATCGTGTTTGCTTTAAACATCTAATTGGATCAAAGAAAAATTGAATAAATGCAGATTATCTCTACAGGGCTGTTTAATATTCTGTCTTGCAACAAAATTACTTCCCTTAGTAAATCATGCTCATAGAACTTTCTTGAGTTTCACAAAGATTATAGAATTAGAACCGTAAATTTAGAAACCTGTCTTGAAAAATGATGCATTAATCCAGGAAAGAAAACTATCCCTTATGAATGTTGTTAGTTAGGAAATTGTATAATTTCCATTTCAGAAGCTTGGATGAAATAAATATTTTGAACACTTGCACAATCCATGGATGAAGGCATGAATATCTGGACAACCAACACCTGGCCTGAAAAAGTAGATCATTGTTAATAATTGGATGTTTTACAAGAATCAAAACATATTTTTCTAACTATAAAAACTTTATTTTGCTCTAGTGGAAGATTTATGTATGCTGGATGGAAAAGAAAGGGAAATGCTAATGTGGATTGTGGGAAATTTTTTGTAAGGGACTGCTTATGTTGTCTCAGGGGAATGTGCTGTTATGTTTGTTCAACATTATTATATTTTATATACTATTTTTCTTCTAAAAAAGATACATCTTTTTTAGAAGATAACCACTATACAAGACCTGATCATTTCAACAAACAAAAGATACAAAAATCACCCGGTTAAAAATCTCCATACTGCATACATGGTAATATACATTTCATAAATATTTGTTGGGTCCCCCCAACATATTTTACTAAACTAACATCTTAATATCCTGTGATGTTACATTGAGTTGCATTAGATTGAATATTTTTGCTTTTCAGTATGTTTGTTAAATGCCTTACTCATTGGGGCTAATATACAACAGAGAATGTTCACTTACAATCATCCAATCATGTGCAAGTCAAATTTCAGGTTTTGTTTTTACTTTCCTTCCACATGACTGTGTGTTTGCAAAGTGAATATTACAAATCAACCCTGGTGAATGATGCACTTCACAAATATACTGAAAAGCTAATATTTTAAAATCAAATGCAGCTAAGATTAGTTAAATATTAATTGAAATACATTTTAGCTTCTATAAGGCAGCTTATATTGACAGCGATTTGCAAATTACATAACGCAACACATCAGCACTAAAGCACACTGTGGTAAGCTAAAACAGCTCTAGTGCCTATTCAAATGTGCTGATCACTTTATTTACATTAAGAAAATGTGACACTCATGTTATTAGCATGAATAAGGCTTACAGTATAATCCTTTTTCAAGTTTTGATTTTAAAAATAACCTTTGAGTAAGAGTCAAAGCATATGTAGAGACCTTTTTAAAGTTTTGGATAAAACAAGAAAGTGGTAAGACCTCTTTTCAGGATTGTATTGCTCTTTGTGGAGACCCTCTGTATTTGTTTTTGTGACCAGTGTAATGCACAAATAAAGGGATAGTAAATCTAAATGTTAAAGCTGCCACCAGAACTAAAGGTAAGGGGAAAAATTACAGATGTATTTTTAGGTGATAAGAAGGGCATGGTTAGGCTTTTGACTAGAAAATCTGGATAATATTTGCATGTCTGTGTGCTGATGGATTCAGGACAACCTGGGCACTTAATAAGAAAAGGGAACTGACAGTCCAGAACTTGAAGGTGCCTGTTATGTGGTGCAACTAGCTGTTCAAGTATATTTCTTCAATTTCACGTTCACTTTAAGACTACTGTTTGAATATTGTTTCAGTATAGTAAGCAGCACAGGAGCTGAGCAGTTATCAGTCTTATCTTGCAGCCCTGAAGGCTGTGGTTTGGTTTTCACATTACACTGGTAGCATTTAGTTGTTGAGATGTTTTCCTTGTATTATACATTTTTACATTTAGAGTTTCTTCTAGGAAAACATGCTGGTAGGTTAACTGACTATGCTCCATGGCCATTCTTTTGTCTGTGCTGAGAAAGGAAGAGCAATGGGCATCAAGGCAAAAAATTAGCCATTTACAACCTGAAAATTGCAATCTGTGTCAAGGTCAAAAGCAAGCCATTTAGAACCTGAAAATTGGCACAAAAACAGCAACGTTTCTACCTACTAGCAGTGGAAGGTCCTAAGACAGTTCAGTGTTAGTTGCTGCATTAATCTACTATATAAAACTACACATAAAACAGTCACTGTAGAACTAATTCATTCATTATTTGCACTTGAAAAAATGCACAATTGAGATGGAATAAAATTGTATTGGTCAAGTATGGTATGTTCTTTTTATCTCTTATGACTGTCCACCATTAAGACTGTTATTTTCTTCTTTTCATCAGCATGCAGGGAGAAGAGAACACTGAAAAAAGATCAGTACTTAGAGCACAATTATAGAAGTGAAAGGTAACTGTCAACAGAGGGATCTGGGTGACAAAGGCAGCATTTTGCTTTTCTGCAAATGATGTTCAGCTTGTCATTTCCACTCAATGTGTTTCTCTGAGATTATATTTTAAAGCATTTGTGGGCACATTTTAAAAATAGAATATTGTATGGCATAGGAATTACTTGATGATAATGCTATATTTCCACTGGAAGCCATACAATAACCAGACCACAGTATATTCAGGAAATATATTCTGAAGATATAGATAGACTATGAAAAAACTATGACTTTGACTAAACATCAGAAATTCTAAAACTGATCTTAATGGTAGCCAAGTAGTCGAAGGTGTATGTACCGAATGGGGAAAAAGAAATCCACCATATTTGTTCTATATTTTGTATTGTATATATATATATATACAGGTATTCCTCACTTAACGACCGAGTTCCGTTCCTACGACCAGGTCGTTAAACGGATTGGTCGTTAAGTGAGGAACTCTATACAGTACTATACTGCATTAGTACAGTACTGTATAGCGTTGCCGATGTACAGTACCGAACAGTGTACTGTACATCCGGCAATGGAAATACTTACCGAGACCTGCAGTGAAGATCGGGGGATGTCACTTCCGCCGGCGACCCGTCGCACTGACGCTGACGCGGAAGGTCGGAGGTTGATCGGCGGTCCGTCGTAAGTGCGAGTGGTCGCAAAACAGGTAAGTCGGTAAGTGAGGAACATCTGTATATATAATTGCTGATATCTGGCATCACAGTAAGTGTTGTCCTATGGGTGCCATTACTACTGAATGCAAATCCAAATAACCAATACTCCATGTATGTTATATTGACTTATATCAAGCTAAAACCAAATTATTCCCTTCTAATATGTTTTGCTCTAAAATCAAGGATCATGGACTCCTGATCACCCTCTGCTGATGCCGGGACAATGCATGCCTAGCCAGGTGAGCTGATTTAATGTTGTTTGTGATTACTTCTGTATGGTTGAACTTTAATCTTTTCTTTTACTACATTGAAAAGTCATAAATATATATTTGTAGTCAGAGCCCTACTGATACGTACCGATCATGGAGATCACCAACCTGCCTGTGAACCAGAGGTGTGCCGTGGTTACTATGGACAGTGTGCCAAAAGGGGGGCATACTCAAAAGAGTAAATGATAAATGAAAGGGTAAGGGAGGGTGGGATGACACGAACGAGGCAAGTAGGGGAACAGAGGGGTTTTAAAGTGTAGGGCTTCTCCCACAAATACAGCTAACAAAAGTTAGCCTAAAATTTATCTCAGAACTTGTAGCAAGACAAATTCCTGTTGAATAGCCACTTTGGTGTAGAGAACCAGACTGTACAACATTTTGGCAAAGACTGTAAAGTCCCACACGTAATAATTTTACCCAGAATCTGTGTGATGGCACCAAAAGACATTTCTTGATTCTCAGATTCACAAGAAATTAGCATTGTGGCTAGGTGGTAAGCGTTCTTGTCTTGCACATCATGAACCTGGGTTTGAATCCTGCTAGGGTCCTGTCCAGTAAATACTGGCATTCATTTTCTCTACGTACTCTGATTTACCTTCATAATCCAAAAACCATGCTCGTAGATTGACTAGTGTTTTACCTAACTGACCATGACAGTGTATAAATGTGCTTATTGGTGGAGACAGTACATTGTGAGCTGTTTTGCAGGATGGGAAAGACGGTTTACATGTACTCTATGGTGCACTGCAGTATATGTTATAGGTATTACATTAGGGAGCAAATGCTAATGAATTGGAGTTCCACAAGGAAATTCATATTGTATGTTTCATAACAACTGGCAAACTATTATCTAGGGTCCACAACCAGAAAACTATACTATGCTAACATGTGGGTCCACAACATAAAGAACATCAGCCCTTCTCATCTAAACATGGGCCTTATGAAGTTAACTTACATTAATGATGGCATCAGTCTGCACATAATCCATATCGGAGTCTCTTAAGCCCAGCTCCTTTCCATCTCTCTGAGCTGTGCTCACTATTCCCGTGGTCACTGTGTTCTGTAAGGCAAATGGGCTTCCAATAGCCACAACAAACTCTCCAGGTCTTAAATCTGCTGAATGGCCCAACATTAGGACTGGTAGCTTTTTCTAAAGTAGAATAAAAGTGTTACAATTGTTCAGAGGGACAAGTAACAATGCACATGCTCCTTTTTCTAAACATATTTACATTAGCAGGGCAATTCACAAGAGGGTGAGGAGTTTGGAGAAGGCAGGAGAAGTGAACAATCTAGGAAAACATAGCTGATATGGAAAAATTCTCCAATTCAGCTCACTTTCCAGTTCAGCTATTTTGTCCTAGCTTGTTCACTTCTCCTGCCTTCTCCAAACTCTTCACCCTTTTGTGAAAAGCCCTGTATATTTCTACTAAGAAAAAAAAAATACCTCTATCAAGACATATTGAAATCACACCATGAATACCACAAAACCTTGCCTTGCTCAGGCTAGTCCTACATTTGTAGACATGGCATACACAACTGTTAAAGAAAGTCCCAGCTTTGCTACATGACGCTAACTGTACATTATTGCAAAGTATAAAATATTCCAAGAAAGTAATTTCTCATCCAAAAACAGAATACAAGGTGGCAACAAACATTTTTCATTAATCGATTCTATAGCTGCAAGGCAATCTCAGTGTCACAGTAATGTTTAGCTTGTTTGACAACTGCCCCATGTTACCTGCCTAGTACCATAGGATGTCCTCAGGCTATAATGCTGAACAACTCCCAGTCAGTTTTACAGATTGATTACTGGTGTGAAACAAAATCGCATTAAAGGGGAATTATGCTTGCTAAGCATTGGCCATTAAAGATATCATGCAAGAGAATAGTTACAATAAACCTTCACTGCCAGTTATGACAATAACTTCTCAAAATACCAACTTCCTTGAAGTTACTATTGATCCGATAGCTTTAGTATTCACTGACCAGGAACAAGTTCTGTCTATATTTGTCAAGTCGGGGAATCAGAAAAAATGTAAGCCAGAGACAACTAGCATTGTAAGAAAATGAGTCAACAATGGCAGCTTCCATATTTCTGTCAGTACAGGTTTTCTTACAGTGTTGCCTATATGTAGCTTATAGAGTACTCACTTTTGAATAGATCTTGATTGTAGCAATGTCTGATTTTTTATCAATATCCTTTATAGTCGCTTCATAGTTGTCCCCATTGTGCAGCTGTACCTTCAAGTACTGCCTACCCGATACAGTGTTACTGCTTGACACTACATGAGCGTTGGTCACAATTAAACCCAAATCCGAAATGATAAAGCCCGATCCACTGGTCAAGGGTACATTACGTCCAAATAGGGGATGCCTGATGAAAAATAAGAAAAATTAATTCACTACATATCGGGGAGGTGAAGCAGGGCAACAATCCTTTAGTATAGAACTATGGGCAAAATAAAAATGAATGATTTGCTGGTGTGTCACTAGTATTACCCCAACAGTTTTTGATTTTCTGATTCCTCCCCACCCTTCTCTGTAACAATGTTTTAGTACCTGTTGATCCTGCCATTAGATCTGTTATTGTTCTACTTTACCCTTTAACAGGGTGACAACACTGTTTGTTCCACGTCATAATTGCACAGCACTATTGTCACCCTGTGGACAGGGTAGGCTTAGATGGACATGTAGTTTGAAATAAACTTTAGGTAGTCAGCAAACAAACTAAAGCCTAACTGCAGCTAAAGGCCAGCTCACACTATAGTGTTACCCTAAAGGCACTGGACCCGTGCATACACTATCACACTGTACTGCATGCTAGGTGTCCTTGTGCATTGTGTTGCCATTCATTATTAATGGCACACTAAAGCACCTCCCGGCTGGTGTGTGTTGTGCTGCAATGCACAATACCACTATAGCGTTTAAAACATTGCTGTGCAGTGCAAAAAAAGTATTGCATTCCATTATGGAAAACCTTTCTGCATTAAACTAAAGAACAATTCACTGACCTGCTGTTTTTTTCTCTTTCTCTGACCTCTCCCTGCAGTTATTCTGTTCTGCCTACTGTTTTGTGTACTTTGTATATCTTGCTTTTGTTTTTAAAAAACCTTAAATAAAAATGTATTTCAAAAAATAAAGAAAATTAGTGCTATCCCTCCAGAAGATGCGTTGGGGTGCCATTCAGAATGAATAGTAATGCAGCATACCAGTGACCTACCAGAGGCTGCTGAGTGAATAACGGAGCCGAAGTGAAGTGAGCCGAACAACGTTTGACTATTCACTTAGGCTCAGTATGGCTGATTTCACTTTTGGCTCAGTACGGCTGAGCCGAAATGCAGAAGGACTTCGACTCAGCCGATCCAACATCTGGATCGGCTGAGCCGAAGTTCCAGCAGCTCACTTGCTGCCGTTCGCCCCTATTCTCATAGGGGCCGAACGGCAGTGAGTGAATAGCCGAATGTCGCCGAGCGGCATTCAGCTTGGCTATTCTGTTCGATACCTCTGTGGTACCCAGCAGAATAGAAAATCTATTTTTTTTATGTAAATAAATATTAAATTAAAAAAAGAAAGATTTTTGAAAAAAGAAAAAAAACAATTGGGCGGAGCTAGCAGTGAAAGATAGCTCCGCCCAACTGTTTTCTATTGGCCAGGAACCTGCTAGAGTCTTCTAGCAGGTCCCGGCCAATGAATAACAACTGGGCGGAGTTCAGGTCATTTGGGGGCGCTGATCTGTCATTACAACTGGACGGAGCCAGCCGTGAGATCACGGCTGGCTCTGCCGGGATGTCATTTGCCAGGCGTACGGCTTCGGCTGATTCTTCAGCTAGCTTTGTAAATAGACCCTTTAGTGTGAATCATTACTGATAGTTTCTAAGCAGTTACAGTTAAACCACATGAATAAGGGTGACCATTGTAAGCAACCTTGATCCAACCCAATCCAAAGAATAACAATAGCTGTTGTGTTAATCCTATTGCCAGCCATATGCCATTTTTTTAACCCCACACATTCACTTTAATTTTCATCAAAGTGTGAACAGCTAGAAAATGTTGCATGACCTTGAAATGTTTCACTATAACCCCACCTTTAATGGTAATTTATAGGCGAGGAGCAATGCTTTTAAATGTGAGTAATGTTTTGCATTTTTAAAAGTCTATTCACTAAAGGTGGAAGAGTTTGGAGAAGGCAGGAGACGTGAACAATCTAGGACAACATAGCTGATTTGGAAAAATTCTCCAATTCAGCTCACTTTCCAGTTCAGCTTTATTGTCCTAGATTGTTCACTTCTCCTGCCTTCTCCAAACTCTTCACCCTTTTTTTTAGTGTTGAAGACATTTTATGCAATCATCATTATTTGTATGGCTCATCAGCACATTCTTTTTAATAGAAATTAAAATATAAAATAAGGTGAAATGTAATATGTTAAAATACAATATAAAATAAGGTAAAAATTCAGCACAGTGGTTCCCCCTCATAATGGCCACAGAAGGTTTGCAGACATTTTGCCACAGAAATTCCTTGTGAGCTATAGGTCGATATTTGATGGTTTAATTGTCCTGCATTTGCCAAAATCTGAGATTTCAGTTTTGCAAAGACTGGCACGTTATCCAATTCCAATTGTTTGCAATGGGTTACTGCTTTGCTTCTTGCACTATATATTGAATAACCCTGAAGAGTCCTGGGCAAGAGTCAGGCAAACCGTGTTTCTGCCGCACAGTAGCCTAGCAATCCCACTTTAGTAAACAAGGTCAGTGTTTTAATCCATGTTATGAAGGCAGCCCATTGTAAACTCAATCTCTCTCCTCCTTGATCTAGTGTTGAGTCATTTCAGGTCACAGCATTCCTGGACTTCGAATTATGAATGATGGAACGAACAGGCCCCAATAAATGGCAAGAACTGAAGAATTTTTATAGCTGCGGGAGGCCATAATTTACTTTGGCACAGGCAACTTTCTCCAGAATTAAAATGACTTACTGCAGTTTCTCTTCCACAGATTCAACACAACTATTCTGTAGCTTTACATTTTTAATGAGCGAAACCCATCTCATATTTGGCTCCCCATATTAATGCCAGATAATCATTTAATTCTACCATTGTGGTGTAGACTGCATCCTCTGCTGCCAAGCTTAAATATAATTTATCTCTGTCCATGCTTTTCAAGAAATTTCTAACTCCTCCAAGAAGATGTAATATACAGCACCTGGCCATGTTACTGCACATAACGGGTTCATTCATCAAAACTGAATATCTGTCCATTTGTTAGATGACCTGGGAGCTAACTGGCTTCCATCTCCAGGGACAATTGCATGTGATTAAAACATATTCTTGGACATTTTGTCCCTAGAAGAGTTTCTGTTTCCAGGACAGACTGTAAAATCTCTAGCTTTGTGCATTTTAAAATTTGAACAAAGTATAGTTTGTGTGTTGAGTATCATTAAACTACATCTAAAGCCATCATTTATCAAACCTATTGAGATGCATTTGTTACATAGTTACATAGTATTTGAGGTTGAATAAAGACATAAGTCCATCAAGTCCAATTTATTTTTTTAAGAGTACCTGTACCCCTGTATATTACGGTCTCTCAGGAAATCTTCCAAAAGCTTCTTGAATGATTCCACACTCTTAGCTGAAATCACTGCTTGTGGCAGCAAGTTCCAGACCCTAACTGCTCTAATTGTGAAGAACCCCCTTTGCCCCTTGTGCTGGAATTTTTTTCCCACCAATTTTAGGTGGTGGCCTCTAGTCTTTGTTACGGAGTTAATCGTAAAGAGTTTGTTGCTAATGTTGCTGTCACCATTGAACATCTTGTACATGAAAATCATATCCCCCCATAATCTCCTTACTTCCAGTGTAAACATGTTTAAGTTCAGTAGCCTTGTCTCATAGCTCTGGTCCTCCATTCCCCTAACTAGTTTGGTTGCCCTCCGCTGGACTCTCTCCAGTTCAAGGACATCCATTCTCAGTACAGGCCACCAAAATTGGACCGTGTACTCCAGATGTGGCCGAACCAACGATCTATATAGAGGCACAATTATAGACTTGTCCCTGCAATACATCCCCTTCTTAATACAGGACAAGACCCTGCTAGCTTTGTTTAACGCAGCCTGGCACTGCAAGCTACCATTCAGTTTGTGGTCTACAATGACCCCCAAATCTTTTTCTATTTCTGACTTCCCTAGTGGCATACCCATAATTGTATAGCCCATTTGCTTATTTTTAATCCCAAAGTGCATTACTTTGCATTTATCGACATTAAACCTCATCTGCCATATATTTGCCCACTCCCCTATTTTATCCAGGTCCTCCTGTAATGTTATACTGTCTTGGTCCGTTTCTATTACCCTTCCGATTTTGGTATCATCAGCAAACACTTTTATATTGCTATTCACACCCTTCCCGATGTCGTTAATAAACAGGGTGAATAGCATCGGTCACAGCACAGAACCCTGAGGTACACCGCTCATGACACTAGCCCAGTCTGAAAAGGTGCCATTTACCAATACTCTCTGGACACGTTCCTTCCATTCCATCTATGCCCATGGATCTCAGCTTGTGTAGTAAGCGTTTATGTGGTACCGTATCAAAAGCCTTTGAGAAATCCAGATATACCACATCCACCGACCTCCCCCCATCCAGATCTCTACTTACCCCCTCGTAAAAAGTTAGCAAGTGAGTCAGGCAGGAACGGTCTTTCCTGAACCCATGCTGATTATCATTTACTATGCCATTAATCTGAACAAATTCTACCAGATAGTCCTTAGTCATTCCCTCTAACAGTTTGCAAACTACCGATGTCAGACTCACCGGTCTATAGTTCCCAGGTTGATATCTTGCCCCCTTTTTGAATATTAGGACTACCGTAGCCGTCCGCCAATCACTTGGAACTCTACCAGTCATTAAAGAGTCCTTAAAAATTAGGAATAATGGTCTTGTTATAACCTCGCTTAGTTCCTTAAGTAGCTTGGGGTGTAGGCAAAACAAGTATTTGTGTTGTAGGCAAAACAATTACAAAGTATCTTTTGCTGCATTTTGCATTTAAAGTTATGAATTATAAGTAGCCTTACTGTTGAATCATTCAACAACAATACTTGTCAACATAAACCCTTCAGATAAAAAAAAAGAAAAAGGAGAAAAAAAGGTGTATGCTTATTTTTAATCCCAAAGTGCATTACTTTGCATTTATCGACATTAAACCTCATCTGCCATATATTTGCCCACTCCCCTATTTTATCCAGGTCCTCCTGTAATGTTATACTGTCTTGGTCCGTTTCTATTACCCTTCCGATTTTGGTATCATCAGCAAACACTTTTATATTGCTATTCACACCCTTCCCGATGTCGTTAATAAACAGGGTGAATAGCATCGGTCACAGCACAGAACCCTGAGGTACACCGCTCATGACACTAGCCCAGTCTGAAAAGGTGCCATTTACCAATACTCTCTGGACACGTTCCTTCCATTCCATCTATGCCCATGGATCTCAGCTTGTGTAGTAAGCGTTTATGTGGTACCGTATCAAAAGCCTTTGAGAAATCCAGATATACCACATCCACCGACCTCCCCCCATCCAGATCTCTACTTACCCCCTCGTAAAAAGTTAGCAAGTGAGTCAGGCAGGAACGGTCTTTCCTGAACCCATGCTGATTATCATTTACTATGCCATTAATCTGAACAAATTCTACCAGATAGTCCTTAGTCATTCCCTCTAACAGTTTGCAAACTACCGATGTCAGACTCACCGGTCTATAGTTCCCAGGTTGATATCTTGCCCCCTTTTTGAATATTAGGACTACCGTAGCCGTCCGCCAATCACTTGGAACTCTACCAGTCATTAAAGAGTCCTTAAAAATTAGGAATAATGGTCTTGTTATAACCTCGCTTAGTTCCTTAAGTAGCTTGGGGTGTAGGCAAAACAAGTATTTGTGTTGTAGGCAAAACAATTACAAAGTATCTTTTGCTGCATTTTGCATTTAAAGTTATGAATTATAAGTAGCCTTACTGTTGAATCATTCAACAACAATACTTGTCAACATAAACCCTTCAGATAAAAAAAAAGAAAAAGGAGAAAAAAAGGTGTATATTCCACAGAATGGGCAACGATGGAGAAATTACAAACATTCTAAAATGGAGCTTAGATGTGTACTGTGAACAAGTTGCAACTAAGTATACTACTCAGATTATTATATCAATGTATCAAGTCAATGATGAAAGGCGTTTGAATCTCCATCTCCATAAAACTCAAAGCAGTTGATGAGAAGGATACAAATGTAACAATGTAACAATTGTAAAAACGAAATAACATTACATTGACACTAAACTCAGAAGTTCATTCTTAAAAATCTATTCAAGTATCTTAACTATTAACAAAAATTTATCTTATTTGTGTATCACTCTGCTGTAGATCCTCAAATCATCTCTGAATTGGTGCCGACACTGTCCTTCCTTCTGGAGGGGGGCTACTCTTGTTCCCCATGGTCCCTGTGTGTTGTAAAGTACTCACCGCTCCAAGCTCGGTCTTGGACTACAATCTCAATACAAATTAGTAAACTAAACATGAGATTGTAGTCCATATAAGGAGGAGCTTGGGGCGCTGACTACTTTACTACACACACAGGGACCATGGGGAATAAAAGTAGCCACCCTGCAGAAGGAAGGACAATGCCAGCATGAATTCAGAGATGAATTGAGAATCTACAGCCGAGTGATACACAAATAAGATACATTGTTGTTAATAGTTAAAGGAGAACTATGGGGTTAAGTCTTTTCCCCATAGTTCTCCTTAGGGTAACGGGAGGACACAAACTAGCGTCCTCCCGTCACCCTAGGCTCAGTATACCACGAGCTTTAGCTCGCGGTATACTGAGACGCCGCAGTATACTGCGAGCAGCTGCTCCCGGTAAACTGAGACGCCGCAGCTGAAGCGGATCCCGACAATTGTGCCGGGATCCGCCCAGCTGCGTGACTGACAGCTGGTTCTGAATATCTAAAGGCAGAGCCAGCTGTACCGCCCCCCTGCCCCGTCCGTTCCGCCAGTCAGCGCTGGCGGATCGGAGCGGGGAGGGGGGAATCCAGCCCCTCCCTTTTACGGCAGAGAGCCGTGACAGGATCGAGAGGTGAGCGAACGCCGGTATGTGTTTGCTCACCTCCCGATCTACTGAGCCGACCTGTGACAGTCTCATTGTCACAGGTCGGCTAGAACTATGAGGTGAGTAAAAATCACTCACCTCATAGTTCTCCTTTAAGGTACTTGAATGTATTTTTAAGATTTAACTCCAGAGTTTAGTGTCTCTTTAAAGTGTATGTAAACCCAAACAATTAACTTTCCATTTACTACCTTTTGGCCTGTTAAAGTGGTAATAAACCGCTATGTGCTGGGTCGGGTTCTCATTTTTATTTAGTACACATATACACAATGAAATCTGTAAATACATACCAAATATGTCATGACTAAAAATTGTTTGTGCTCGTGACACAGATACACATATACAATCTACAATACCAAAAATTGTTCATAGGCAACACACTAAAAGCCTTTACAGGCCATCAGCTTAGTACTAATCATAAATGATGGCCCTAGAATTGGTTCTCTCATTCTGGAATGTGTTGCAATACCCAACATGTGTTGCCCAATTATTGTTTATACGGTTGTTTCATACGCATATGTTCGTGTGCATATTTGTTTGTGGAAGGGGTTGGGGCTGTCTGGTCCCTCTGGTCTTATCCATCTACCAGTTACATCACATGAATTCCACTCTCTTTTTCATTGCTCCATGATGTGGCTGTAACGGAGTATAACATCACCTTGCATACATTGGTATTATTTCAGCATGCTGACTTTAGAAATTAATATTATTAGGTTAACATTAAGTGGCTTGTCATGGATAAATCATGGTAAGCAAAGTAGCTAATTGGTTAGCACTCTTGCTAGGTACACTAGCTGCAAGGAATCTATATGGTCTCCCCATTTAAGTTTGTGCGTTTTTTCCCCCCAAAAACTAGATGTTTAGTTTCCAACCAAATTAGCTCTACTGTCTCTACCTGTGTTATTTACAGACATTACACTGAAAGTTATTTATGGGGTAGGAACTGGTATGAATGGCTCTATGTAGTCCAACTATGTAAATGCAGCAGTATTACTCTGTACTATATACATTTTCACAAGAGATTAATTAACTTTACAGAGGCTTAGGGTGTAGTTGAAGGAAGAGTCTTTGGTACATGAATTGTATAGGACCCATGGCAGAGAACTGAACTTTCTATAGCTGCCAATAGCCACCATAACTTGTTTTTCCAATATCAAACCATTCATTTTTATTTTTTAACAGCTATTCTCTTTTTTTAAGCACCCCCTCCCATCGCTTCTTAGGCTAATAATTAGTCCTGAACTGTTTAAAAATATTTATCAAGTGGACATACGCCCTGTGAGGCAAGCAGTGCTTGTCGAGATGCAGGCTTTCTCACATGGCTGCTGGTTGGGGCCATTAGTCGTGGTCATTTCGTGTGCACTTTGCTTCTCTGAAAGTTTCCTTCTAGCAATGTACAAGCAGTATTGGTGGATTTGGTGTGGCAGTGCAAGGGCGTCATCCTGCACAAAGAGAAATTCTACTACATTTAACATTTTATCAGAAAAATTAAAACACTTGATATTACCTCAAGAAAAGTTCAATGTGAACAACAGCTGGGGCAATCTTCTCTACCACATCAGCAATGAAGTTAAATTTGTACCTCGGACTGTTGGCATGTTGGTGACCTATACTGGCAGAAAAAATTGGGTATGTTAGTAGGAACATTCCTTGATGAAACCTTCTAAACACAGTCAGGATTAAGTTAATTACAGTCTTCAAGCTCTAACTTCTGGCTTTAGACTCTGCCTTCTAAACTCGTGCAAAGTCATATCCTTGGCTGACCCCATTATTCTTAAAGTAAGCAATCTGTGATAAAAATAATATGAGAGTTAAAGAGCTTTGAAGGAGGCTTTAGACGTCATTTGTTCCACCAACGATGTTCTTATTTACAGAAGTCCATACTTACAAAACGGGCTGACACAGAACTTAATTACTTCAGCCCTATGCTATACACAAAATTCCAGACTCTCCTCTATGTATCAGACTCATCTTGTAGCCTCTTCTCTGTCTCGACTCACTGAGGTTAAGTAGCTTTACTTGTGGATGACCACATGAAAGGTCCACTTGAAAACAGACTGTGATGTTTATGTAACAAGGTTCCCAAACATGCAGAGCAATGAAGTTTTATGTGGTTCCCAACCAACAGTATCATCTTAACATGGAAACTTTTGAGAGCATTAAAAAAATTCAATACTGGCATTTAAAGTTCCTCTAAACCAAAAATACAAATTGGTTCATATCAAAGCTATCTATTGGGAAGATTACTACATACAAGTGGTCATATTTCGCAAATTAAATGTGTAGCCCATTGGAAGGTCATATTTTAGTTTTTGGTTGATGCTGGAAAGCAAAAATCACATAACATTTTTTCAAGCCTCCTCTGGAACATAGCTTACTAAATGTCAGCACTTCTGTGTTAAGGTCTGCATAAACGCTATAGCCATCACTTGTGAGTCCAACTCTTCCGCTTGGATTTTTACTTTATTTTATATAATGGAAAATGCAAAAAAAAAAAAAACTGGGAACCCAAGATAGAGAGGAATAGAGCCAGAAAATATGGCAGGGAGTTCTTATACCTGGAGTCATACAAGAAGATGGGGAGCAATTCTTTTCACTAGCCCTTAACTGAATTATTACTTTGGGGGTGTACTTACCATTAAACATGAAATATTGTTTTTACAGAAAAATAGGGAAATCTGGGAGAAAACATACCCAAAACGCCAAAAAAAGAGTCAGTAATAAACACTGTATGTGGTTTACATACTACTTTTGGTTTCTTTTAATCACTATTTGGAAAAACTGTGCTCCACAAAGTTTGAGATGGTTACAAGTAAGGATGCACCGATACTAGTATCGGTATCTGTGCCGATACTGAGTATTTGGGCGAGTAGTCGTACTCGCCCAAATGCTCCGATACCTTCCCCGATAACGGAACTTCCGGTCAGAGGAAGAATTCCTCTGACCGGTAGTACTGTAGGGGAACATGTAGCCAGCTTCCCGTGTGATCAGGAAGCTAGGCGAGTAGTGGCCTGCCTCCCGGCTCGATGCTGATTGGCCAGGAAGCCGGCTTCCTGGCCAATCAGCATCGAGCCGGGCAAACAGCCGGCTCAATGCTGATTGGCTGGGAAGCCGACTTTCCAGCCAATCAGCATGGAGGCGGCTTGCCGACCAATCAGGAAGCTGGGTCATTACTCGCCGCCTTGCTTCCTGATTGGCTGGGAAGCCGGCTCGATGCTGATTGGCTGGGAAACCAGTTTCCAGGCCAAGCTTAATTAAGCAGGACAGACAACATGGAGCCAGCTTTTCGGGCAATCAGATTGCCCGGGAAGCTGGCCCCATGGCAGCAGAAGCACCGGTATCGAGACCCAGTATCGACGAGTACCAAAAGCAAAGTATCGGTAATCGTACTTGATACCGAAAAAACGGTATCGGTGCATCCCTAGTAACAAGACAAATACTGCAAAGGAATTTTTGGGTAATACTATTCCATGTTCATCCATAAGATGGGGTAATTGGAACGTAACCGAGATAATTGAGCAATAGCTCCAAACCAACGTAACCGAGATAATTGAACAATAGCTCCAACCACTCTAATGAAATAGAGGAACTACTGTAACAGGAACTAAGAAGATCAATATTCTGGATGTGTCATCTTCTCAGCAGACATCAGAGGAGGTTTTCTCTTGATTGTAACGGTGTAATGGCATGCAGAAAAAAGTAAGTATTTAGCCTCTTGTTTTGCAGGTATACCTGTTTCTATTTGTAATAACATGGCTCTTTTTAAGTGTTTACATATTCTTAGCAAGCAGTAAAAGAGCTTTAACCCCTTCATGACCGAGGCCTTTTTTCCTGTTTTTGCACCCATGTTATAACCCCCATTTTAGGCCTGAAAATGACTTCAAACCCCCAAACATTATATATTTCCTGAAAGCCAAGAGCTCATAGAATAAAATGGTGGCAGTTGCAAATTTTTATGTTGCACAATATTAGCGCAACTCCATATCAAACCCCAACATTTAGTGAAAAATGCACTTAAATGCCCCAAAACACAATAAAATACTATTTTTTTGTACAATATAAAAGGTGAGGTTCCCATGAGTAAATAGATACGCAACATGCCTAGGTTAAAAATTGTGTGCGTCCGTGAAACTGTGACAAAATTCAGTATCCCCAAAAGTCCATAGACGACACTTTAAAAGCCCCCACAGGTCATCAGTTTAGAGATACCCAAAAATACTGGCACTAGAATTATTGCTCTCACTCTGGTGTGTGCGGCGATACCCAACATGTGTAGCGCGATCGTCGTTTTCATACATAGGTGCACCCGAGGCGTATTTACGTGAAGATGCGCATGCTCACAGATCGCACTTCAATAGCTTTTTGTTGGGCTTCAGGAGCCCACCAATGACAGCTATGGGACCGAAAGTGATGTAATTTGCATTGCTCTCTGTCCCATGGTGCGAGGAGGAGATTGGTGAAAAGACGTTCGCCGCTCTCCTCCCCAGCTTCCCACTGACACCTGAGATGCCAGTCCCAGGCCCGTAGGAGGGGCAGCGGAGCCTGGGAAACACTGCGGGGGTGTCGGGTGAGGGGCGTTCACTGGCCTGTAGAAGTGATCTGGCAACAGCTGAGTCGCCAGAATTGCTTCTATTGTAAAACCCACCGGGAGTCTGTTTGAATGGGCCCGATGCCAGTGATGTACAGTGTACGTCAATGGTCGTGAAGGGGTTAATACAAGCCTTCACTGACCTCGGTAGATGCAGGCACTCTGGCCATATTAATGCTCAAAGATCACAGCAGACTCTAATGTTGGTTTTTAGTGAGTTTATAACAGTAGAGACTTTGAAGTTGGTTTTTCGGCAGTTTCTTAACAGCTTTCAGCACCTTCTATTTGTTTACATTAGAAAGCTGGCCGGCTGTCAAATTTCTGCCACAAGAGAAAATAAGTGGACAGGAGCTCAAACTTTAGAGTTTCTGTTGTAAACTTGGAAGATTAATTTCCCCACAGTGCCTGCAACTACAGAGGTCAATGTTTTAAAGCTCCTTAACTGCTTGTTGTTTTGTTGTCACATGTTTATCAAAAAAGAAGTGTAAAATAAATCCAACGTTTTACAGTATGCTGTCTTCAGTGTACAGTATTTGAACCTTAGAAGCTGCCCTACAGTGATATACCATTGTGATACCTTAAATAAATATATGTGACTATAACCCCTGAAATGCTCAAAGGAAAGTACCTTTTAAAAACAGATTATTCTTGATTTGTCAAGCTGCGGGAACACTTAAAGTGTAGTTCCCCTTTTGCAGTCAAATTTGAGAAAACTCCCACGATGTGTTTGTTACGTGTTCCCATTCACACAGCATATTACACACTAAAAATATTTTTATTTAATATTTTTCTTATTTTTTAGCTGTTTCTTTGGTGAAGGACTTTCTGCAGATTCCAGGCTACTCAGAGCAGTTTGAGAGGGAAACCATAGGGGGTTATTCACTATTAAGCCGAAGGATACAGATGTATCTTCGGCTGATCCTTCAGCTCTCTTCAGCAGCCCTTCGGTTCAGATGTATCGTGTACCGATCTCCATCTGATCCCCTGTCCGAGAGGTACTATGCTGGTCCCGGGCTCGCACCTGGCACAGCGGACCCCCGGGACCAGCGTGACAGCAGGAGGGGGGGGAGCCGCGGAGGGGGGGCGCACATACCGGGACCTCATGCAAGCGATCCGCCGGCTCTATAGCCGGTGGATCACTTGTATGTTAACAGGCATCGCTGCCTGTTTTTAAATTTTAGGACTTTCCCGCTTTTGCTCGCTGTGTGGCAGGCGCGAGGGGGCATGGCTGAGTGGACGTCTAAAGACGCCCGCTCAGATCTAGAGAGCTCCTGGCCGGCCGTTTTTTTACAACGGTTGGCCTGGAAGTGGTTAATGAATTAATCCTGTATTTTCTATAACCCATTGGTATTTAAAGTAGCAAACTAAAATTTTAAAAACCTCACCTACAAATCAGCTGTAGTAATTCTCATTTATGCTGAACACATGTAAAATATTTGTAGTAAAAAAAAAAGTCATTAAGTAAGGTAAGGTTAAAAACGTTAAAATCCCTATAAAGACTTGACAGCCGCTTCTAAATCTTTACAGAGACACCTAAATAAACACTTGACTCTCCCTTTTTACCGGCTAATGGCTGTAAATAAATATATAGGTCTAGCATGGGTTATATGCGTTCTTTTCCCTGGAGAGATCTCTGCATAGCTAAGAAAAGATCTCTGCTATTCACTCTTCACCTGGATGTATGGCACCTTCACACGTTTTATAACCCCATGGCCATAAAATTTTACATTATGGGCCTCAGTGCAAACATCAATAAACCCATCAGCTACCGGTTATACCGGGGCAACTGCAGATGTGAAGCTGCAGTTCACTGACTTTGTTTTTTGACTCATATACTGTAGGAAAGAAGAGGAAGATTGATGTTTATTTTCCATTTTAAGTCTGGACGGCTTAGCACGCTTACAGAAAAAGTATACATTGGGGTTTGCCGCCACGCAAAAAAAGGGATTCCCAAATGTAAGCACATGAAAAGGGAAAGGTGCCAGTATCAGAGGTTAGTTTACTTTTGTATCCAGTTGA